GAAGGGATAAAACATAGGATGGTCAAACAATCTGCTTAATTTCATAAATTCTTCTTTACGCATTTTCTATCTTGAAGCTCAGTTTTTCAACACTTTTTGGTATAATTATTCTCAGTGACGGTGAAATTCTGAAGAATATTGCTTCACAGGTTGTGACAGTCACGAGCTAAAATATTCCTGTCCATTTGAAACTCGGGAATCAGTCTTCAAAATTCAGAAACTCGGGAATCAGAATTTCAAATTCCAGCGTCTTCTACTGATTTGATTCCATTAAATTTCCGTTTTTTTTAAAGCTAAGATTCTTACATATGATTAATTTTCTGAAGGAAAGATTGATGTGACCTGAGAAACTCAGACATCAGAGAACAATAGAAGAAATTAAGTCCATTGTCTAAGAAAAATTGTCGATACTGGCAATGCTTATTGCTTATCTAGGAATCTACATCATTTCTGAAGTTAAACGGACTTCCATAAAAGCATTTTGAAAATTTCTATCATAAACACACAATTTATTATTTATGAGATAAGTTGCTTTTATTTATCAGAGGTTCAGCCAATTAAATTGATTACAGATAACTGATCATAAATAGACGGCTAAATGTGAAAATTCTTCTATTATAGGTCTTTGGCTTTATGATTATATCATCAAAGAATTAAGAGAGTTATTGTTTAAGGCAAAATTTTGTATAGATCTGCTATGTCTATAAGCCTCCATTAATATTGTGCAGATCCACGGAATCGAACCACGGACATCTGGAATACCGGCCCAGCGTGCTACCGTTACACCACGAAGGCATGGTAAGGAAGTGGGAGAAATACCTTATAAAGTAGTTTAAGACTACATACACAGTGACTGCTTAAACTAGCTTAAGGTAATTACCGGCTCGTATTTTAAATTCGGCTAGCAAGATGCTAAAGCCAAAATAACTTTGACAGAGCTGGCTATGATAAGTAACAACGAGTCGAGCGAGACAGAAGCTCTAAACTCTAATTATCCAAACCCTCGGCTTAGATAATCAACTATTAAATTGCATTCTGGTGAGAACTCCAAAACAAAGAAGCTAGAGTAAAGGTCCAGCTCATAATGACTGATTAATTAACATAAAATTCTGGCTCTTTCGAAGGACTGGGACAATTTATGCCTTCACCAGTCCTTAAATATGACATTTTCTAAGATTTTATTTAGCATACTATTACTTCTCCGTTAAGCCTAACCTTCGTTGTCAAATTTTAAGACTTCGAATAGAAAAAGATTCATATGCGGCATGTAGGCTATAAATGTTTGAGACTCATAAAGTTAATACCAATATATATTCCCACATTTTTTTAGTATTATGCAAACTGCAAGTACTCCTCTCAAAAAGTATTTATTATTCTTTAGAGGAATGATTTTAGATCTGATTTCTTTAATTTACCAGGCAGTTAATTCATTATATGCAATTTAAATTAAAAATGAAGGAGTTGGAATGAGCTTTTACCTATCAGTTTCTTAAAATAAATGAAATGATATTATTTATACACGGTTAAACACGTTTTACAAAGTGTTTGATTTGATATATCAGTATGCAGAAATATGCGCAGTATAAATACAGTAGGATTCCGTTTAACCTACTCCGCTTAATGCTGTTTCAGTGTTACGCAGTAGCTTTGGGATTTCCCAAAAACGCATACGTTATCAGTACTGTTGAGTTGGTTTAGGAACTGCAAAAGATCGTTTAACGCTTCTGTTAGGTGGTAACGCTTCTGGAGACTTTAAATTAAAATCATTCCTTGTTTATCATTCCAAAACCCCAAAAGCACAGACGAAAATTTCAAACTTACCTTGAGCAGTAATTTGGGAGTCTAATAAAATGTCTTGAAACATTATAAAAATTTTCGAGAATTGGTTTCGTGAGTACTTCTGCCCGTCTGTTAAGCATAATCGCGAATTTAAAAAACTAGAGCCGAGAGATTTACTTTTATTTGATAATGCTCAAAGTCACACCTTTGTTTCCCTGCCGCCAAACACAACCTCGTTAATCGAACCCATGGATTAAGGCGTAATATCAAATTTTAAAGCTTATTATCTGCGGCGGGTATTCTGAAAACCGATGGAAAAGACAAACAAAACATTAGAGATTTCTTGGAAAAACTACAGTATCACGGATACTGCGTAGACAACATTAATATTTCCTGGAATTAGCTGACCGAGGATGGTGAATAACCAATGTTTGAAAGTTTTTTTGAAAGGAGTGTGGAAGAACGTATAGTCGGAGTTAAGCAGAGTTGTTGACATCAGAGAATTCATTTTTGATGTCGATGAAATTGTCAAGCTAGCTAATGAAACAGGGTTGGATAATATAAATGCGCAGAATACCGGAGAATTATTTCTAGTTAAAACTGGTGAAAGTCTTTCCAAGGACAGTCTTAAAGAAATAGTAGAACAATGAATGGACGAAGAGGACGAAATTAATGTTTTTTAAGATAAGGAGCAAAAGGAATTTTCAACGAAATTTCTAAAAAAATTTTAGTTACACTACAAAGGAAAATTATGCATCAGTTTATACCAAATGATTTAAATTTTCACAGAAGACGAATTATCATTGATGCGATGTCTTGCTATCGACAGCTACTCGTATTTGCTGAAGGAAACAGAAAAAGGAAAACGATGCTAGATGACTACACAAACAAAGCAAAAAAGAGCAAATGAGGAAGAATCTTTCTCATCATAAACAGAGCTTCTTTACCTGAACATTTTTTTAAAAATTTTCATGAACTTTTTATGAATAAAAATCGATGTTAGCAATACATAAATCTGTAGTTATTTCAAAAGTATTTAACAATAAACGTTGCAAAATAAAATAAAGCAAACAAAAATGTCTGATAATTTTTTAAAATCTTCCTTCTGTTTCACTTATAACTGGCCTCGTAACGCTGAAATTTATTGAAACGTATTTCTCGCTTTAAGCGGGGTCTCAGTGTACTGAATTAGATCATAATAATACTCAGTGCTGAAGACATTATGGAGGATTAACCTTGGTAGATTAGACTGCTTTCAGTTCCTGAAACATCACAGTAGAAATATCACATTTAATCTTGTTTTTCGTTTTCATTCCAGTTTCATAACTGAGTTGTAAACCTGATATTACATCACCTACCGAAAATGAAACTGTCATTGAAATCGGTGACAGGTTATTTTATAAACTTATGTGTACATGCTTTCATTTAAGTAAACAAGAAGCAATGTAAAATGCATATTCATGGTTTAAAATATCTGAATGCATAATAATAATAATAAACACAGGCTGTATTACTATTACGTTTCTACCACCATTTCTTTATTTACTTTGTAACATTATGATCCATTCCTTTATGCAGTTTCTTAGAATAATTTGAGTTGCATCAAATTCATAATTCTACTACAGTCTTCTGTTTATTATTTCGTCTATTCCAATCACAAACGAACATTACGGTAAGTATTTTATTTTTAATAATTAATTAAAATTTTGATAGTATATAATTCGTGTGAGTATTTCAGTATTTATTTTCGGTTTATTTAAAACATAGCCTAAGGTGTATTTTTACAGGATTTTTTTTTTGTCAGTTCATTTCTGTACATTTTGTATAAGGGTTGCGTATTCTTGTACGCGAGGTTTATGTAATTTTTTTTCAGCGTTTTTTATATATCGATAAGAATTTTTAATTACTGCATTACTAAATATGGGAAACAGTTACATGACTTATATTAAATTTTTTATATTGTGGGTACATTATTTATGCTGTCTTAAATATTCAGTTGAAGTTTATCTGCTAATAATAAGTCACCAATGGCTGAGCGGTTGGAACCGCTGAAGTTCCCATTGGTTTGAACCCCAAAACGGGCTTGCTGCATAGTTGGTTTTCATGGCTTATCTAGTGAACAAACTGAATACGAGTCATTTTTCTTTCGAAAGTCTTCCGTGAAGATATACATTCCCTTAAGAAGATTGCCATATTTGAGTAATTATACCTGTAGAGACATTAGGTGTTTTTTGGAAGCTGGCACTATGAAAAATGAGCAAACGCCTTCGCCGGGTATCTAATGACGAACCTCTGGAATACCGGCCCAGCGTGCAGAACCACTACACCACGAAGGCACACTAGGAAGGAGGGGAAAATACCTTATATACCTAACCATCTTCTGTCTGATAAAGCAGCAGTAGTGTCAAACTCAAATTGTATGTGGGCCGAATTCTCGATCTGAAAACAACTGATGGACAAGAACACTTTCTAACAATATTTAAAAACATTTTTAACCAACCTTCCCCTCAAAAATAAAATATTGAAAACTAAATATTAAATTTTAATCTCCGATGACTCCAGTACGTTAAATTAACTATTAAATAGTACTTTACTTTTAACCTTAACTCGAAAAATGGAAGTTTAGAATGCTGAAGTTTGACCAGCTCTGGGTTGTCAAATTAAATTTACTGACCTGTACCATGTCGGAAATTCTCCCACCTTAGCCTAGTCAGTAACCCAGTCAGTAGCTTAGTATAGTTACCCAGGTAAGATTGTCATCTTCTGCTTTACCTGGCCTGTCGTGCAAGTATATAGTGACCAAAAAAAAGTCCCAGTCTATTCATTTTATTTTCTTTGCCCTTCAATAACAATCACATCACTTCGTTCAATAGCACATAGGCACAACTCATATCTTAATGTTTCTAAAACTATGAACATTGTATCTGCAACGAATACATTATCTAAAAGTATTCTCGGACCGTATAAAATTGTTTCGGAGGCCGCAGGTGGCCCGCGAGTTTGAGATCACTGTGATCTGTTGGAGTAACAGTTTTTTTCAGCACTAATTTAACATGCAACGATCACTCCTATTTAAATAGTTAATTTCTTCTATTTTATACATTTAGTTGAACTGGAATAATTCTTACAGCCGTTTAAAGTGCGCTACGTTTTAGATTTATTTGCGTATAACAAATGGATAGTTGTACTAATTAAAAACGAAACTGTTTCTTAATTTTCAGATATTTTTCACCAAGTATCATTTGAAGTCAAGGTTTCATTCGCTGGAGCGACATAAGTGTTACCAAATAGTATTATACTACTTCGGTCATTCTTGAAAAAGAAACCAACCCAGTATTATTCACCCTTGACCGCAAAGTAGCGCGTGGTCAACCGACTCTCGACCCTGACCCATGCCAAGAAGATTCTGTTCTCATCTCACCTTGGACTCTTCTGACCGGTGACTTCCATCCGATCGAATGAAATGTCCGTGACCTGGTTCCACAATGACCCACAGGAAGAAGAGGTATTAAAAGCGAAAGTTGATGTCTGATGCAATTACCTTTAAGGCTCGTGATCTAGAAACGGCGACCGTTCCGGTGCAACTGCAGGTAAAAAGCGAAAAGTTCCTGAATGAATTTTTGCATTCAGCAATTGCGACTCTTGAAACTTCGAACAAGGTAAAGTTGAAAATCTTTTAGCTGCCATGATTAATTTCTTAACTGTTCATTCTTTTTTTAGTGTCAATTCATTTTTCACTACAGAAAATTTTTATGTGTGCTTTTGTTCCATTATATGAATTCAGAGTTTAAGCGACGTTACTTTCTTCACTCTGTTTGTGAAACAAAAAATTTTTATAGAGGCTGAAAGAGCTGTATAAATATTTCTATGGAACTTTATGGGTAACATTCTATAGATCAGCTTCTCTATAAAATTATAAAAATACCTTTTAAAGCTTTAACGGAACATAAACATAACATTCTATAAAAACATTGCTTTGTAAAATCATACAGAAATTCTATAAACCCTTTATAGAATAATATTCTATAGGAATCTGCAAAGTTCTCAAACTTTAATCTAAGCAAATTTTTAGTTTTTGATACATTATGTAGGGTATAAAAGACAAAAATAAATGCTTTTTATTCATAATTGTTGAATTATTTCTGTACGGAAATTTCTGATCTTTTTCTTTAAACTTAAGACTTTTCAACTTATAAATTTATGTAATATTTTCTATATTTTTTGGCACGGTTGTTTCACATAGAATAAAAAACCGAAAAAAAAATTAGTTTTTTTAAAAGCGGAAAATCAATTTAAATCATAAAATTAGTTGAACGATTAGATTTACGCTGTTACTTATGCAAGTTTAAATTCTGAAATAAATTATTTTTAATTATTATATATGTACCATCATAAGAAAAATAATTTGCTAATTTTAATTAAGCTTAGCTATTATGTAAAGCGTTTTTACTTTTATATAAATATTTTTAAAATCAAAACGATATTAAAATTTATTATTAAGAAAAAAATTACCCATTTGTTCGGAAAGGTTTCATCTCCTTTCCCCTCCATGTCACAAATAATTTCAAAATTTAAGTCAAAAAATTCTATTCGAGAAGATAAAAAATAATTCATTATTCTTAATCCGGAAAGAAAATTTTGCTAATTTTATAATGCTTTTAAATAACTCAAGAGGGTGTAAGAAATGGACATCAGTCATGGAGAATTTCATAATTTAAGTGAGCGTTGTGGTCGATCTTTTGTTCAATCGTTAAACATTTGGTTTTAAATCATGAACATAAAAAACTACGTTTATTGAAATTTTGGTATTTATCAACATATTCTACGATTTTTGTTTAATTTATAAAACATACAAAAAATAATTTAAATCTAAAGAAATATGTATTTTTTGAGATTCGGAAACGAAAGGGGAAATCATCGTTTAGCAATGAGAAAAGGGGTACATGAGGCAAAACAGGTTAAGAACCACTATTCTGTTGATTTTTTATAGAAAATTAAATGAAGGAAACTCATTTTGAATTTTTTAGACTTACGGTCAAATTTTCTGGAAACTGGACCTGATATTTTCAGTAGAGTTCTATTACATTCTATACACATGTTATAATGTTCAATACGTGCGAACATTAGAAAATGCGTACAAATTTTATAGAATCTGAGCAGATACTACTGAATATCTACCATCTACTCATATCTCTACAGAATCTCTATAGAAGATATATCTAAAATTTTATAGAATTCTATAAAAGATCACGGATTTAATTTGTAGAAAACTGGATTATAATTCTACAGCATTCTAAAGAAGTTGAACAGCGGATGATTTTACAGAAATCTGTAATACAGTTTAGTAACGGCAACTTCACACTAAAATCTACTCCAAACAATGAAAATGGATTTAAAAATTTAAAATGGCCAGTAAACTATCTTGAATAGTCTAAAATCCAGTTATAGCTGCGTGTTTTGTCTATAGTTTTCTACAGAGATTAGATTCCAGAGTTTTTTACCCATTTCTAACAGAAATATAAATATATCACATTAATATTTCATGTAAGGTGTTTACATAACGCAACCGGGCTATGTGGGTGAAAGGTGGTAAATATCAGAATATATAAAAAGTTATTTTATGCCGTAGTTTATTTAAATTGGATAACGCGTTTCCTTTCTTCTGAGAATGCGTTGTTGCAACGTCAAGCATTATGGTCATAAACTAGGTCTTCTCTCTCTTTATTGCCTCTCTATAAGCATCTCATCTGGTGATACCCACCATTATACTATCCGCTCAATTCACACATCTGTTTCTTAATGACATAATAATATCATTTCATCATTCACAGAATGACATATTTTTTCCCTGGTATTGATTTATTGCGATCCTTTGCCATTTTGAATATTTAATTCAGTGCTTGCATAATGTGAACGCATATGAATTCTGTTTACACATTCTGAATTTCTATGATGGAATGAATATTAATTACTAGATATTAGCGTACGCATTTTTTTTAAATTTTCTCCCAGGTTACGAATCTTTTTTGTGTTTGTATTAATTCTATTGCTGCTTTCAGGAAGCAATAATATTTTTAGTATGATTCGCCATATTCCAAGATACTAATATTAAGTTAAGCTTTTACGTTTGTACTTCTATTCATTAAATTATTAGTTATGTGCATAAGATAACTTCACTGTCGTCTTATTTTTTACTTTTTGTCTTCTGCTTGCGTTACATATATTTATGCTATTATTTTAATAAATGCCTGTTCTCATCTTTCCTTTAGTACTCGTGATTTTCCCCTTAGCACTCATTCATTTTCGAAAAAGCACTTAATTTTGATTTCTGTATCAATAATGTTTGCTGATTGCTATGAAAATATCATTTATTGAAGTGCCAGTTACCGATGCACTAAATTTCAAGCTGCAAAAATTCTTATCAACCAAGTAGTTTTAGACATTAAAAAAAATGCCTTCATAGAGTTCTGAGAAAGAGTTAAATATTGTTCAATATTTCCTAAAATAAAAGACGAATGCTTTTAATGAGTTTGATTCACAAAAGCGGGTGTTTCAATCTCTTAAATACTAGTCAAGAATAGAATCTAAATTTTAATAAGCCATCGGTTGAATGGGGACACAGGGCAAGCAGCCTGAAGTCAGTCCTGTTCTCGAAGAAAAGGCAGACAAAACTACTTCAAATATGTATGAACTTTTAATGATACGAGCAAATTCCTTAGCCGCTTATTTTATTATCGCATAGCTTTTGCTTTTTATCTTTTTATCGCATTTTGTGGCACATCAGTAAACGAACTTCGGAGGAATCGGGTAACGCCATACTGCTCTGTATGATTACCACTTGGGCATTATATGATATGTAATGTCATACGGCATATCGCATCAATAAGAGCATTTCTGTTATGAATGGAAACATGATATTGATATTTCCGACTCAAAGCTTAGAAATATTTGACAATACAAAAGAGACTCTTCGAAGAATAAATCATCGAGGAGGGGCAGCCTTAAGAAGGCCTATAAATTTAAGGCATTTTGATTTTGTTAGCAGCAGTCGAAATTGTAAGTATGCGGGAATATAATAGAAACACCTTTCATTTGCGCTTTTCATATTTATAATTATTACATATTTTTAAGGCACACGAAATCTGAGAGAGTTATATAACAATCTCTGCTTCACAAAATGTCTGATATTATCGCAAGTTAGCTATCTAGTATACTAGTTCTAGCCCTGAAGTATCTCTAGTATACTAATCCTAAAGTTCCTTGAAAATTGATAGAAGTTAAACAAGATATTGCAGTATGAAGACTTCGGATGCCAGTCTAAAACAGCAAAGATACATTTAGCATTATGAGTTTCAAACAATTAAAAATGATTTAAGTCTAAAAATTGTAATATATCATAAAAATTTATAAAACAAAGGTTTGTATACGAGTTACGTAGGGTTAGAAACTTCTTTTATTAACTGCAGCAAAGCTACAAATATTCATTAAAATTATACATTATTATATTATTATATATTATTATGTATATTACAAATTAAACACGTTTTCATTTATATTAATTAAATATATTATGAATAACGTAAAGCTTTCAATTATGAAAGATTGTATTTTATTTCTCTTTGATCCCTAAGTTTGTTAATCAATAACATACTGATTAAATTTGAAGATAAATTAAAGACTTTATGGAGACTATTAGGTTTTCGAAGTGAGAAAAGTGAAAAATCAATTATCCTCCGGCCGGGACTCGAACCACAGGTCTTGCAATGCTAAATGAACATGCTAGCAGTTACACCACAGGAGCACGCATGGCGTAATGTTTTAATTCCTTAGAATTCATGTTTTGACGACTAAAAAGTCTGAGAATCCTTTTTGCAGAAGGCTACGAAGAAGATAAAATTAAATATTCCACGTATATTTCGGTAATAACAATATTTGCCAAGAGAAGCTTTGTTAAGACATGCTTTTTATATTCAAACTTAAAATGTGCACCTCGTTTAAGCTGCTACTTTACCTTCGCTGACAATGCACTCGCACTTAACCGACTTGGCCGATTAACAGAACTAATCTCACATAGATTAAACATAATTTAAACAGGAAAAGTCAAACAGAAATTTAATATTGTAAAGCATTCATGAGTGCATCTTTTAGGCAAATTTTCATTTATATTTATAATAACAACTTACATAATGCAATGTCAGCTAACAACAGATGAAAGTCAATCCACAAGGAAAATTATAGAGAGAAGTGTAGTGCAGTAAAGTTCCCCGTAATCACTCAGGAGCCTTATGGAATAGTAAAGAGTCCATGTCCTCGTACACATAAAATTATAGGAAAATTTTGCACAATCACTAGTTAAGACCTTGAAGACATCATGCAAATTAGAACATAAATACAGACATATCTGATAGAGACATCTCACCTAATTTTGATTCAGAAGTCTGATATTCTCCATATTTTTCTCTTTAGACTTTTCAATTACTTTTCAAAGATTTGAATTTCCGCAACACATGACAAGTTATGATGAAAGGAAACCAGTTTATAAAAATTATGTGAATATCAATAATATGTGAAGGAAAATAAATGAGTACAAGAATTAAATCTCTTTTCTATCAAAGAATACAGCATTTATTCTCGCCAAAAATCTAAAATTTCATTATTAGCCAAAAGGGTTATTAGTTTTGTAATATGATTTTGTGCTGTTTCAGTTTAAATGCATTGTTTCATTTTTTTTCATTCGAGTCTATTGTCACTGCTCCTCAGGGATTCACCTTGTAAGTACCGATATAGCAATCCCAATGTATCCTAACCGTTCAGAAGATTATTTTCTTGTTGAGACGGGTGTACGATCTTGACAATCCTCAGTGATCTAGCCTTTTTCCTTTCCCCCCTTTTTAGCTACTACTTTTTTCTGTTTTTCTCCCTTGTGAGTTAACTCTGGAGAGGTTGAGGCTTGTTATGAGAGGCTAGTACACCTCTTGTCTCTAGCTTCAAGTAGCGAGAAAATTGCCCAGATGCGCACTGTGCATGGGAACTCGTGTCGTTGGAAAAGAGGGTCTTAATAGTGGAAGTCGATAATGAGGTACTATCCCCAATACGCTACTTTAACCTCTGCTTCTGCCCAGATGGGAAGCACTTAGTTGTCCCTGTTAGTGTCAATCGCCTGGTCACTTGTCTTTCGTCTCAGTAAATTGGGGAAAAGCTTTCGGGAGTACCTGCTTTTGGGAAAGTCGACTGTGGGCGTATAGGTTCGGCTAGCCCTAACACAGGAACCTGTGTTCCCTTGTTGGACTCCATGGTGGGTGCGGTGGCTGGGCCAGAATCTCATTTCTTTTCAATATGGCATCAAATATATCAACTATTGCATGATAACTCATTTCGATTCTAGTCAAGTCCAGCAAAGTCATGATTCTTCTTATAAGTCTACCTTAAAAAGATACTCACAGACGCAAACACCAATAATCTAAAACATTGTCCGCATTTACTAGTTGTCTGTAGCCATTCTGGCGAACTGCGTAAGATGTCTCCTTTCTTAATAAATAAATATATTCATTCTTGTATTGGTCAGCCTAGAAATATAAGGCATCTCCGTTCTGGAGACTTACTTATCGTATGACTTTGGCCACCCAGTGTACTTCCTTACTTCCGATAGCCAATCTCTAGCAAACCAGTCACTGTAACTGCACATAAGATAGTGAATTTTTATCGAGGTATCATCATGGAAGTCGATCTTCTGTTTGTTTCAGAAGAATTCGTCTCTGAGCTTTCTGATCAAAATGCCTGTGGTGCTAGGCAAACTAAGATGTGAAAGGAGGGCCATTTGATCAACATGAAACGTGATCCTGACTTTAAATTCGCTTGATCTGCTAAAGAATATTAAAAGTTGAAAATTTTTGCCCGTAAGACTGTCTGCTTGAAACCCTCCGTGATGCTTGCAATGCCAGCGTTTTAGCCATTACTTATCTTGGTGGCAACCTGACGTGCGCTTGAAGTTTAATGATTTGTTCCGATGGGGAAATTTATATCGCTGCACCATTGTGCAGAAACTTCAAGTGCGACCATCTAGCATTTTCTCGCTCGTGCTCAAAGTGAAATTCCGAAAAAGAAGCTCAGAATACAAAAATATCAAGGAACGTACCTTATGATGAAGCCAGGAGTATAGCCCAAAATTCCCAATCATGATTATATAAGTATTTTTCTAGTACTGTAAAATCAACTATATCTACCATTACTCAAACCTCTCGCAGTATACCTAAAGTTCCACCATCAAATATCCAAAAACCTACAGAAAATCATAATATCAGCAAAAAAGAACCAACACATATTAAAAAAAAATGTGATGTGTACACCACATCATTTCCTTGTACGAAATATTAAATTACACACAATTTTCCTGCATTTCATTTAAACACATTGAATTAACACTTAGCGAATTTTGAATTAAATCTTCTTCGTCGGTGAAGCACAAACCACAAAAGAATAAATGCACTCTTTAAAGTTTACTATATTTTACCATAGCGACACTTTGGAGGCTAGGTTTACTTAGCAGAGTTACATCTCATTCATTTTATAACTCAGAGTGTACAAAAATTATGTCATCTGAAGAATTACCACATGTTCTATTCAAACACTATAATAAGTCTAAAACGATGTATAAACCAAATTAAACAAATAAAAAAGAAACAATTTTTGACATACGATTCAGCGCCGTTTACTTAATGCGGCTGTGACAACTCAGTTCTCACTTCGCGACAAGGCAAAATTACATAAAAATTCAAAATATTTTCATTAAAAATAGAAAGATATAAAAAAACATAAAACACCAAGTACAGTTAAAACAATTAATTTTTTTTATAATTAAAGTTACAGTTTCTACGAAAAAGCAAACAATTCGGCCAGCGGGCAAGAAGGAAGATTTTTCGGTGAGCAAAACAACGAAAAAAAGTTTAACCAAAGTTTACTTTTGGTCTCACTCGGCAAAAAGGCACTGAAGTATAAACTGCCTTAATTCTGCTAAGTTTCAAATGTAAACTAATATGGCTGCTAATGTAAAATATATATATATATATATATATATATATATATATATATATTAGAAATTGTAGTAAGCTCGCCTAAAAGTTACCAGGAGCTGTGGCTCCAAAAAGTTCAACACGTTTTAAGAAACAATGTCATTGAAGGGTGCGAAATATGCTACACGAGAAAGGAAAAAAACACAGTAAAATACTCAGCGTTGGAAACTAGTAAAGGCAAAAAATACAGTAAAATACCTATGGATGTGCCATTTGAAAAATTAATACATATGAAAATCAAACCAAGTAACAAGTAAAACATTAAAAAAAAACAAAATCAGATAAAAATAGAAGGCGGAAAGTGGTAAATTAGCTGAACTCAACTTCCAAACTGGCTTTTCAAGGGAAATTTCTGATTTGAACGTCGAATCAAGCTAACCCCATTACGCGTTTCTCCGAAACAGACAATTGAAACTTTTTCGCTACAAAATTTTTTAATTTAGACAAAGTGTCTTGGAAAATTTATTAGTCTCAATTCTATGTTCCAATTTCCCGACGCGTCCGCACAAAATGACACATTAACATGTTAAAATATGTAAAAACTATTCCGATTACATCTTAAATCAAGACTAAAATAAAAATAAAAAAAATAGCGGTCTGCTATTAGTCCTAAATATACAAAAACATACGGGCTGGGCCTGCAAGCTTAAAGATTTATAATTTTATAGATTTGAGAAATCTGTAATTAAATTTAAAAGAAAATTAAGATGAAAACTAACATAGTGGGTCTTGCTAAGACCAAGAAAAAAGTTGTAACAAAAGAAACAGAAAAAACTGACATGTGGCGATGCAGAGCTCTCCCTCTTAAAACTAAGTTGAAAAGGAGTTGTAATTCCCTTCTGTGTACTTCAGTCGTGTGACGTAAGTAGGGGGGAGAGATGTTCTGTGGGCATCACCCAATACAAAAAGACTGTCCGTTAGCTGTAACTCGTCTCTAATTTTCGAAGGGGGTCGGAAAGCGAGGAAAAACGTGAAAAGATTTCAAAATGGCGTCAGTCATGTAGTTGGAAGAAAAAATTGTTACTGAAAGTGAAAATGGCTAATTCAGCTAAAACTACTAAACTTGGCCACAAAAGCAAGAGCAAAAGGAAAAAACAGCCATTGGTTAATAAAAAGTCGTAATTCTTCAAGCTAGCGGGCGATCAAGCTACTATGAAAAACGAAAAGGCCCGATTTGTTAATAAAAGCAGTAAAATTGGCCATTACAGAAATTTAAAACTATTTAAACAATAGTATTAAAAGTAATGTGCCAAAATTTTGGAGGAAAGATAATGTATAAACAAGAATTATCTGTACATTTTTTACATTAGATTCTCTGAATCAGCCATCCACGTTTTGCAGTATTGCAGATTCTTTTTATTCTGAGTAGCTGTGAAAATTGATAAATTGTGTTAAGTATGACTCTTTTGGAAATATTTGAATTCCAGTTAGTTAATTTTAGTGTGGAAAAATTAAATTCTCTTCTTTTGTCGTAAACTTTTATAAAATTGTAATCAATAATATGTAAATCAAGGTAGACTACATTATGCTGTTCTGTATTTGTTTTATTTAGTTTTAAGCATGTAGGGTAGATATATTTATATACTTTTGGTGCCACAGATTGTAACCAAAATGGGAGGTGCACATCTATATGTTATAGCAGTCCTATATAAAAAAATTTCAACGTTATGATGCTACTCGTTTTTGGGTTATGCGAAATACATACATAAATACATACGTGCAGACGCCACGAAAAAATTTCTTCAGAATCCATTTTAAATCAGTTTTATAATTTTTTGGGGGGGGAAGAAGAGTCATTTATTCTGTCCTTACGTACAGATGTCACGCAAAAATATTAAATTGCATTCGATAGCGGTCAAAATTGATATTTTCGCTGAAATATGATATCCAAAATTTTTAGTGATTATAATACTTCCTTTTTACTTCGTACAAGGAAGTAAAAAGGAAACTGTAGTTCAAAACAAATAAAAGAATATTGCCCAAAAATAACAAGCAGAAAAGTATTGATAATATCTCAATAGACGACATGTTTCGAAATCTCTAGATTCAGAAAATATGGAAGTAGTAGAGGTATTAGATCCTGTAACGTCTTTTTCCACGCAAAATCATGCAGCAGTACAGAAGGAATAAAGATCATACATAATGGCCACATTAATCGCATGGAACTGTTGAGTGTTCAACCAAAAGTTTGATAGCGTCAGACATTTGA